ATATTTATTTGCATAACACAATTTAATAATAGTAATATATATATACACATAAGGGGGAGTTTTTGAAAGGAGAAAATATTTTTTATTGTACATTAATCTTTCAGGTTGTATCTTGTGCTGGAGATGGAATGATTATTTTCTCTGATATTGAAAATCCAGATACAAGCATGAAGAACTGCTTTTCTTGCCATTTTGGTTCAGCTTACAAATTAGAGACTGTGCCTAATGACCCTCATACTTTCCTTTCCTGTGGAGAAGATGGAACTGTCCGCTGGTTTGATCTCAGAACAAAGACCCAGTGCCTAAAGAAGGAATGCACAGAGGCAGGTTGCTTTGTATGTCTGCTGGAAACCTACATTTTTGTTTTTTTAGTGTTTTCATAATTATATAAATGTCCATTTCAGAAGAGTGCTTGCATGAAATGACTGTCACATTTTATAAAACAGTTCTTATGAGTGTAATTGTAGCTCATGAGAGGTAATAACTTTGCATTTGGCTACAGCCTGTTTGGCGTATGTCGCCTCTGCTTGGTGTGGAAAAATGGGTACTGGCACAGCTAGGATTTTGTGCTGGATTTTGATTTTGGTTTTGAGATATTGTTTCTTATCTTTTGTTTAAAGCCTTGCAGCATTTGTCTCAAGTCAACTGATTGGACAAAATTAATATTACATTTCAGGATATCCTCATCAATTGTAGATGTTCAGTAACATCTCTTGCAGTTAGTCCATTTACCCCATACTATATTTGTGTAGGGTGTTCTGACTCTTCTGTGCGTATCTATGATAGAAGAATGTTAGCCACAGGTAAGAAATGCAGGTTTTTGTTTATTCAGGCAAGTTATTTTCCTTCAGTCCAGAGATGTCCAATCATTCTTGTAATTGTAAGCATAAGAAATAGAAACAAATTACTAATTATTTTTTCTGATCATATGGTTTAAATGTATTTTTTTAGAAAAAATGCTGTCATGTTAAATAATCTTTAAGATACAAATTAGTTTTGCATTTGATGATGACTGCAAAATCAAAATGACCATAGAGAACATTAAAGATTGTCTTCTTTGAACTAGTGTTGTTCTTTGATTATACATTATTGTTAAAAAAAAAAAGTCTCATACTTCTCCAGCTACAAATCTATTCTGGCAACTTTACACTGTTGATTGGCTGGGAATTTGGTGTAAACCAAATATGTTAATGCTAAACATGTTGCACGTGGTACAAAAGTTTCCAAGGTGCCAATGCATTAGAATATGCAGATTATTCTTACAAAATAAAGCATAACTATACCGTATGTAATAAGTTAAATATTAGATTTATAATATGTTCAGGTTAAACTGATTGTCCTGAGAACAATGGGATAGGACTGCTGAATAACAGGAGATTTAACAATTCATGATGTTAGAAAAACACATCGGTTCAAGAAGTTTTGATAGAAATGAATAAAAACCTTATAACCTGAGCACTTTCAAAAGTGTTCAGGTTATAGGAGATTTAACAAGATATCTATTAAAGAGTAGCTCTAAATTTCTCTGAAACTGAGTTTATTAGAATGAAATAAAGACTGGAAACAATGACCAATCTTTAATAACATAAACACAGTGTGTATACTTGCTTAGGATGCTGGACAATTGCTTTTACTAGATAGTAAGCTGTTTTCTCTCCAAACTGTATTGGTAAGATCGTATACCAGACTAAACATAACATTATTCACTTCCAAGTTAATGTTAGACTTGCCAAAAACTATTAACGCTACCCACTTCACTGGTCATTTGTATTCAAACTTAAGGGAGGTTGTAACCTCAAAGCATCACCTGTCGTATCATTGGAGGAAACTTCTCTCGACATTTTTGCACAATGTACAGCATTACAATCATAGTCACAGATGCAGACTATCACCTCAGGAGAAGGACAAAGAACAAAATGAATTTAATCTTCTTGATCACGTGTTATGTGAAAATTGCACAACCAGAATAACTAATTCCAAAAAGTACTATTAAAATAAGGTGGTAGAAAACACAACTTATAACTCTGTGTTGTGTGTCAGTACAGGCTTGCACTCTGCAGACACACCCAGTCTCTTTCACAGTACCAATGTAATAATCAGACATCTGGTTGTCTTTGCTACATCTGCCTATAATTTGAATACATAATCATCATGACTCTGTATGTATGAATAAAACTCACAAAAAGTGTGTCATGTTAAACTGTTAAGCTATACCAATGTTTTAATACATAAAAATCCTATTTAAGAAAGTAACATTTGAAATTCAAACATTTTTTAACAATTGAAGATTTTTGTGGTTTTACTATCTGACATATAAAATTATGAAATACCAATTAAGTTGCATTATTGCATTGAATGAATGTTATTTACATTTAGGCTAAACATATATTTAAAACAAATGCATGAGTATAAGTCAGCAGCAGATAATGCATGGGATTTTGCAATTTTACTATGAACATGTTATTCTTACCAAAGTAGGAAATGGAAGAAGCTCAAGGTTTTTGAATTGAGGCACTGCTTTTAATCTTAGGCATTTTTATTACATAATCATCTATTTAACTAAACTGTGCTTCAAAAAACTTGCTAAAAATGAACGTGTTACTGAAAATTATTGCTTCTTACCATTTTCCTTAACTTTGTGCCATTTCAATATTTATTATATACCTCTCACATTTCATTAAGTTGTTTTAAATAAATTTTTTTAATCATAAGGCCAAGATGATTTAGTTGCCAGACATACTGAGTAGCTATTAATATCAAACTGTATCTTAAAAATTGTATATATTTTTTGTAAGCCCAAGATGATTTAGTTAACTAACTGGACATCTGTGATTATCAGGATTTACTTTAATATGATTTTTATTTTTGAATTTGATATTTTGCTTTTTTCAATAAGCTATTTTTGTTTATGATATCACATTTTCAGTACCAGTGTTGTTGTTGATCTTAGTATCAAACACTAAATCTAGAATTTATTGAAAATATTAATTTAATTACTTTAAATTTTATATATATATATATATAGGAGGTTTCCCAAACAGTTGGCCAAGGTCAGCATTGCACTCATTTACTGTACCAGAAGTAAGTGCTAGGAACTGCAGAATAACTTCTGTGGAATATAGTCCAGATGGTCAGGAGCTGTTGGTCAGTTACTCTTCTGACCAGATCTACTTATTTAACATTCAGGTGAATAGATAAAGTGCAGCATTTAAATTGCAGTTTAACCATAAATGTAAGAAAGTTGTAACTAAGGGGCTAACTATTTTGGGGTCCAGGCAGATGGAATAGACTGTTATTTTAAATTAATATTTGCAACAAAATAATGTAATTACCTGTTTCCTGCTATTATTAATAGGATAAGGTAATGGGTTGTAGCTGTCAGCAGTACTGTTCTAGGGGGCCATTAACTATTCTGCCCTGGGGCCTGGAATTTCTGTTGGTGGGCCTCACTGCTACTATATTTTTCAGCCCAAAATAAGAAGTGTGTGAGTTGTTACAGTTCAGCTTACTGCAGTTGTGACTAGAAAATATTTTATATTTAAGCTAAAGTTATTGCTAACAACAAAAATGGTGGCATGTGTAACTATTGGTTGCACGAATAGGAATAAGAAGAAATTTCTGAACACAGTATTACATATAGTGATGATTTTGTGGTTCACAAGCTAGGAAAAGTGAAATATGTTAATGCATTGAGGGGAACAGATGGTCTCTTTGTTTTCTATTATTAAACATCAAAATGGAGGTGATTAATTTTGAGTGCTCTAGACATCATGTCAATTTGTAAAAAAAGTGAGTTTTTTTTTAGTGTTGCTCTTGCCAGAAATGGGTGTAAATGAAACAAAATATCAATATAGCATAAATACTTTGACATCAGCACTTCTAAAACTTTATGTAGAAAGATCAATATTGTGTATTATTAGTAAGTGCATGTTTGATCAAACATTCAAAATAATCATGTTGTACAACTGATTTGAGTTGTCTTTTAAAGATACTTTAGTGTTAGGTTTTTTTTATGCTAGCAAAAGGTTTATAGAAGGCCTCAAAGAAAGCAAAATTAGGCATGTTTATAATAAGTTTGTCCTTTTTAAAGGGAATTAATTTTGATTTGTCTCATTCTCATAGGTAGCATATAAGAGAAACAGATGAGATTAAAGCAACTATTCACATAAACATATAAATTTCCATATATATATTAAAAATGTCTTCGTAATTTAGTGTACACTTTATAGCTACATTTACTTGTTTTAAATGTGTAATAACTTCTGTTAATCAAAATGAGCATCAAGGCTTAGTAATTTGTAACATATTTTTCACTTATAATTTTGAAAAAATTTGGATGTGAATGTTTCGGTTTGTTTGTACAAGGGAAGTTTACATACAAACACCATCTTTATGTTCTGCTGTTGATATTCAGGCTGTGTATTATAATTTCCATACTTTAACTTTTTGTTGTATGCTTTTTGTGTTTTTTAATTTAGAAATTTTAATATCTTAAAGCAAAATTTATTTAACAGCCATGACATTTATTTCTACATTGAAAATTTGAATTGGATAGTTTTTATAAAGTTTTGATAAGTTCTTTAGAATGAAGAAATATGTATATATGTAAAAATTTTAGAAACTGCCTTCAGAATTATTATTTTCAATTTGCACTCTCTTCCAAGAAACACATTCCATTGACTTTAGAATCAGCTGAAATTCAACTTGTTTTGAGCTAAAAAAGATGGTGGCATTGGCTCTGCCCCTTCTTCACTAGTTCACGCTCCAAGTTTAAATTGTCATCACCTTTCTTTCTTCTTACCTCCATGGATTGTAGTGTGTGTGTGTGTGTGTACACTGGTAGTTGGTATATCCCAAGTACCTTGAGAATTCTACCTTCATAAACCCTTATTTAAGATGTACTTTATATTTCCCTTTTTGTATTTTGTACTGAAGTTTGGTTTTTGTTCTTTGTTTTTAATGATAATTTTTTTGGCCTAGTTTTTTAAAAATACGTTTGTATTATTTTTGTAACATAGGCAGGACAAAGGAAAGAACCGAAAATTCTTACTAATCCATCTAAAATTCTTGAAAGAAAGGTGAGAAAAAGTAATTTATTATTGATTTTTATTAAGATTTCTTATGTAAACTTAATTTCATACCTGAAGATATGTAAGAGACATTACTTGGTTAATACTAGGCAGAGATTTAATTTGTTATCATGTTTAGATGAATAATTCTTTAAATGATAACATAATGTTAGAAATTGTTGAATTCCTACGAGTCATTTTTTTAAAAGCAAAATATATATTTTATAAGTAAAAAAAAAGATAGAACTATTATAAGTAAAAGTAAATTGAATATATCAGATAAAAGGTATGCTTTTTTGGTTGAGTGTCTGAATAGGATTTTTGTTTACTACTAAATGTGTAATAAAATTTTGTTATTTATGCTTGAAAATATATTTTCTTTAAAACCAAATTGAAAATCAGTTTTGCCTCTCATAAACAGATATTATTATTCTTCAAGGCATTATTAGTTGTTGTTTTTTATAGGTTGGCGATAAGTCAGAAATTACTTGATACTTTCGATGACGAGGAACCCACTTTGAGACTAATAATGGCTGGAGAC